TACTCCTACAAGCCCAAGAGACCCGACTGTCAGATGATTTCACCAAAACCAGAGCGAGAGCAACCTGTGAAAGGTATATCAGGCTATCCAGAAGCGTTCTCAATCAATTTATCCCAGGACCTGACAATTCAGATCCTCCTCGTTCAAGACCATCTCACCATCCTCCTTCTACCGTACAGATCTACAACCAAAGCAACCACGACTTCAACTTAAGACTTAAAGAACCAACTGAAATGGGAGGTGAAGAGGACGCTGATGGCGAGACAGATGATGATGAGAGCAACAAAGACAACATAGAAACTTCTGATTTCATGCAAGAAGAAGAGGCAGACAGAGAGTTGTCAGATGATCAGTCTGAGAACAATGATAATGAATCCAGCAAAAGTATGTACCTAATCTCGAGTTTAAGAATGACTCTTAGTTGATCATGTGTGATTTTGTCAGATACTAGTGATGAAGATGAAGTTGGTCAGATGGATGAAGACTGGCCTCCCCGTGGTAAGTTTGATTTCTGCAATAACTTGGTTTTAGAACCACACCAGTCTCATATATGTATATCTCTGATGTCCTATCAGGAGTTCAACCAGAGCGAGGGTTGCACCCCCCGCGTGAAGGCAAGATCTTTAAGTCCAAAGAGCTTGGCCAACAATACCTTGAGGCTCATGCACGGCATCAAGGTTATGCAATTGTAATCAAGTCGGACAAAGGCCCTCTTCGCCAGAGCCAATACTTCTACTGTACTCGTGGTCATCAGAAAACCAAACGTGCTGCAAAAGCATCTGCATTTGTTCAATCTTGCGATAATTTAGGCACTTCAAACACTGATAAGGACTCGAAAAAACCTCGAAAGAGTAGTACAGCCAAATCAGGCTGTGGTTTTGGAGTTTCTCTCAACTACTTGAAGAAACAAGGTCATTGGAAGGTTAAAATTCAACACGCTCGTCACAATCACAATCCATTCAAGAGAGCAAATGACTTACCTCGCCTGCGCCGCTTTAAACCACACGAGGAAGAATTAATTCACACTTTAAAGGAGGCTAATGTCCGTTCTCGAACCATTCGACAAATGCTTCCAGCTGAAAGTGCTCATCGACCAATGCGGGATATATATAATCAGACAGCCCGCTCTCGAAGGACTGAACTTGGAGGGAAAACACCCATTGTCAATCTGATTACACGACTTAAAAGAAAACTGGTTTTATGAAATGAAGCTTGGACCTAATGGAGCTGTTGAATCTCTTTTTTTTGCTCATCCAACTGCAATCGAGATGGGACGTTGCTTTCCATATTGTTTTGGAATAGATTGCACATACAAGACCAACAAACATCAACTTCCTCTCTTACATATTGTTGGATCAACTTGTTTCAATTCTTCCTTCTCACTTGCTTTCTGTTTCATGCAAAAAGAAGATCGTCAGGAATACACTTGGGCACTTCAACAGCTCAAAAAACTCTTCAAGCCACATGATACTCGGCCCAAGACTTTTGTAACCGACAAAGAAAAAGCACTCATTGGGGCAATCTTGGAGGTTTTTCCAGGCAGTGATCATATCTTATGTATGTGGCATATCAACAAGGCCATCTTAACTAAATGTGCTTCTATCATCACGGTCAAAAAAGAATGGGATGAATTCTATGATTGCTGGCATATTTTTGTAGCTTCTCGCACTCAAGACGAATACAAAGCTAACAAATCAAAACTTATCCAAATTGCACAGCGTCACTCACCTACAATCCTTCATTATCTTCAGTCAAACTGGTTCCCGATAGTAGAAAAGTATGTGAAAATGTTTGCAAACAAGTTTCTTCACTTTGGAAACCAAACGACCTCGCGTGTTGAAGGTTCTCATAGTTTTATCAAAAGTTTCCTCGAATCTTCTGTTCAGGACTTGTTAGCTTGTTTTAAAGCTTTCAAACTAGCAATTACACATCAAAACACCGAGTTCGAATGCCGACTCTGCAGTGAGCTCCAACGAAGACTCAATAACATCGATGAATGCTTTATCTTATTACACACCGAGATATCTCAGTACGCAATTGGATTGGCTGCCGAGCAGCATGCACTGATTGGAAAACCAAGTCGAAAACCTTGCACACATTCGTTCTCGACCTCTTATGGAATTCCTTGCTCACATCAAATAGAAGCCTATATTGTCCTTGGCCAAAAAGTGCCAATTGAAGCCTTTCACAACCAGTGGCGATTGGTTGCTGAGCCGATTCCGGAATCCTTGGATGCTTTGAAAGCTGACTTACAAAGCAAGGCTGAAAGTTTATGTAATCTTCCTGAACATGCACTACGAAGAGCGTACAATGAGCTGCTTAAAGTGCAGAGCGGTGGATATGAACTTGTACCAGTTGCAGCACCTGCAACTAAGATGAACACAAGGGGCCGCCCAACCGGTTCCAAGAAGAACTGGTCAAAAACCAAAACGACTCCGCGAGATCCTTCGGCTTTTGAATACCTAGAAGCTCCCAAAACAAAACCTCCTCGCAAATGTAGTAACTGTAAGAACTCTGGGCACAGGAAAGACAAGTGTCCACTCATACCTCACCCACACGAACCCACGTTGGAAGAACTTCAACTCGATCAAGATGATAATCTGGTCAATCCTGAAGCAGATCAAGTTGTATCTACATTACACAGCAACAGTCCTGAATACGAGAAAGAAGATTCTGACTCAGAATTCAGTCACACCCCTCAAAATATACCCGAGGAGCTTGATCCTGAATCAGACTTGGAGGTAAATGATGATTCTCCTATATGTCCTTTCTGCGACGACCCTCTTCCATCTCAGCCCTCGAAAAAACTTCAAGTTCTAATGGAAATCCTCACCAAAAAACCAAATTCCAAAAAGACACCTCGACCAGGGAATCCACATGCGGTTTCTCTTCCTGTAAGTCTCATTTGGGCTTGGCTGCCCTCATCCGTCTGTAGTGCTTTAGATACAACCAGTTTAGTCTAATAAGCATATGTTTTCATATTCCATCAGATGTCCGAGACGATAGCGTTCTGTGCAATGCATTACGCTGAAGCGGAATATGTTCCGATAGGGATCAAGAACAAATGGCCATCATCAATCAATTTTGATGATCTATCCAGGTACATAGTCGACCCTTCGAATATGATTATTATTTGTTCTGTGGATTTTCTAACATTAACAACCGATTGGCCCTGATTCAGACGTGTAGAGACATTCATCCCTGATCTGCAACAGATCATTGATTGCCATATCAAAAGCGAGTACTTAAATGGTGCGTTACACATCCTACAGACTCATGGCACACGTCGAATGGATAGCGTATGGCACGGTGATCTCACTTTCGAGCTGGAACAACCAGGATAGTGAGTATCTCACTCTTCAATCTATTTTGCATCTTCAGATAGCTGATATTGAGCCGTAGTTATGGGGAACGAGGCTTAGAAGTAATCCATCAAACCCTTCATTCACATTTCTTGCACCCCCAAGGTCTAAATCGACTTAAACACACAAGTCTGAGTCCCGAAAGCTGGGTCCGTACGGTTTTGATTCCCGAGGTGTCTTTAAGGCTAATTGCGGACGATCTCAAGTTGTCCATTTTGGATCCTAAAGTTAAAGAAACACTCGAGAGCTCTCGAGCTTATGGGATGGCGATGTTTCCAGCTGACGAGGACACCTTTTGAGATTTCACCACATTAAACAGCTTGTTTTCAATACTGAACGTATTGAAGCCCTCCACTTGCTGAAAGCACACTTACCGAGGTCATATACGATGTATATAGATGAAATGCAAAGCAATCATGAGTAAACTCATACTGAATCCAATTTTAAGATCTAGTATACTTGCCCTGCTCGACTTGCCTTTTCTGTTTCCTTTGTTTTTGCGTTTCATGTGATCTGGGACTTTCAAGATAACTCATCGAGAAATCGATTTCCGTGCAAATTTGACATACTCTCTTGATGGCACTGTACGTGAACCTATGTAACAAAAGGAACCGTTGGTCACCGGTGGGCTCCTTTTGCAAACGAGCCAAAAGCCAATCTGCATACTACATGAGTTCACCCGCCATACCTGAACCCGGCGTCACACGCTTGGGAGGTGGGCGTCATAGAGCTTTAGAACGATCCAAAAAGGATGACGCCGACTGTCCCAAAAACCGGCTTCAGAATCTTTCTGAAGCCTTTGGAGCTCTGTACAGGTTCCTCCTGGTTCCTCAGGTTTTTCCGAACTGTACAAATTCCAGCTTAATCCGAGCTAACGAAAACCGGTGTCATTTGGTTTTCCAAGTCGGCGTCTTTTATCAATCACCTTTGAAAAACTCGACAAGTTTTGGAAAAAAAAACTCACAGGTTTTTTTTGAAAACTCAAGCGTTTTCTCTTTTTCCAAAGTCATCAATTCTGCAAAGGGCTGTAGTTCATAGTACAAGTTAAATCACTACACTTTCCATCCCATAGACACCAGGTCAAACTGCGTGCCTTGCGTAAACTGTGCCATGAATAGACATTTGCTTTTGTACGTAATAACGAGCCACCGACCAGCAGGCATTCTTTGTACCTTCGATTTCCCCAAACTTACATGTAAATCCCTCGCCAAAGGCTCGAGGCTTGCAATTTCCTCCTCACAAAATTTCCGCAACATCATGACGGCGAGGGACTTACTTAAGATTGGAATTTCCCCCTCACAAAAGTAACTAATTGCACTTGCCACTCACGCAACATCAAAGTACAAATATGGGATTGTATGGCATATGTACACCCTACTTCAGAACCCAACACACAAAAGGCCAAGATTGTCCGCCGGTGGCGCTAGGTGGCGCCACTCTATGCCGCAAGAAATGCCACAGCCCATTTTCAAAATCACGTTCTCTAGGACCAGACAGGAGAAAGCATATAAATAGACTCCACTTTGAGATCCATAACAGTCCCTAATCATCGTATTTTGTCGAATCACACGGATCTTAGACTGCTATCAGTTGAAACATCACAATTGACGCTGTTCTTCCTCTTTTCCTCTACCCAAAATGCTTCATGTCTTCCTAAAGATCTCCTTTCTATTCTTGTGCCTGTGGATTCATGTCCTGAACGGGCGCGAACTTATTGGGTGTAACAGAAAGCTTGAAAAGCTCGGACCTAAAAGCAACACCGCAGGTATTTAATTTCATTTTTGTCTTTACTGCCTTATAACTCCGGCATCAATTTCACCCACAACTAATGGAACCTTCTTCCGGTCGCTCATATCAATAGTATGCGAAGTTGATAACGGTAAAATAACAACGTATCACTGTAAATATGCAAGTTGCTGGAATGACAGTAAGCGTTTTACAATCCAATCTACATCACCTTTGAGATCTCACCGCAAATCTGATGAAGGGGTATCTGTTTTGTGTATTTCTGTTAGATCATCAATGGGTTTTTATCACTGGCTGTCAGCTCCCCGGTTCCGATGGCGCCTTCAGTGACCAAGATTGTGCCCAATATGAATACCTGGGTGTGTTAGGTTATGGTCAGTACCCTCAATTTTGAATCTTACGCTCCTGAGAAAGTTTCTTATGCGAGGTTCATCGTTTGCATCTGAATGGGGAATGTTTAGGTTGCACCAACCCCGGGAATGTAACTTATCGCTGCCCTTATTGGGATCCTACTACTGTGCCATATCTGAGTCAGTCCTTTTTCCTCTTCAATCAGACGCTCACTTCGCTGAAAATTATCTCTCCTTCCAGCCTGTAGCGATTGCACGCTGAAAAAGTGATAGATCACACGCCTATGAATGAAGGTCTCTAATACCTCAAGAACACTAGAAAGGAAAATGGCTGAAGATTCACTAAATCAATGGGGTCTCTCAGACATGTGCTGCCATGTCTTGAGTCTCATTGATTTGTTCCCTTATTTATACCTTTTTGTCGAGAAATAATGATGATACATAAAAAAAATTGAACGTCTTACAGCCAGTGGCCCAGGATCCGTCATTAGATAGAAAGTCAAACCAACTTTGTTTCCTTTAAATTATCATCATCACCCCTTAAAGCATTTTCTAGGTATAACAAAGATATACCTCACTCAATCTCCTTCTCTCACTTATCTTCATCATATATCTATTCTTGTCTACTCCATCAAATGTAGTGGTCTACTTTGCAGGACCATCCAAGCCTTCCGAATACAATAACACTTCCATCTGCTACGATTAGACACTTCTCTTGTAATTGTAATTGAGATTCATGATCATTTGGCTTATAAAGACGTCTAGTGATTTATTTGTTACATCATTATACACTGGCGACTGCAAAGATGTTATGACGTCAATGTTTGACTTTGTTATGAAAAGCCCTTGTGTGCTATCTACCTTGATCTTTTTCTTTTATCGAGCTCGAACATTTTTCTTCATACAATATTATTTACTTCAGATTGTTCTCATTTTAGTTCGATCAAGTGCTCAGCTTTTATTAAGCTGGCTACCTGATTTTCGTAGGCAATATTCACTTTAAGTAACTCTATAGATGTTTCCTCAAATCACAGGGCTGGAAGCAACGTGCTCTCCTAGACTTATTCATACGCGGCCCACATCAGTCCTTCATTTTCCAGACAAACTTCAATCAAGAACTCCTTGATGATTGTTCTGCATCTTGTAGCATCCACCGCCAAGAACCGGCTATGGACAAAGAAAAATGTAACTCAGACTCACATTGACCGTTGTGATCAACTAGAGCAAGAAGAGGAGTAAATGGCAAAAGAATGCTAATGTTTTCTTTGTCCAATACACCTGATCGGCATCCTGATTCATCAGGACGAGAAAGTCCGACCGAGATCAGAGCTCTTGCTCAAATGCCAAGAGATATGTACAAGTGGTGCCGGAAAAGATACGACGCAAGTTTACTCCGCCGGCCGCGACTGGTGTACTGGGCGGGGTAAACTGGTGTCGTATCTTTTCCCAGAGAAACCGAAGCCTTGTGCAACCCTTCTGGCCGGCCAGCAAAATTGGCCAGCCGCTGGTCATTTCACATGATGTACAGGGGCATTTCACATGTATTTGAATATCCCTGCGTGTCACACGCCTCCATCTGCCAAACTGTCGGATACACAACAAATAACAAATTCAGTCCATAGCAACACCAAACCGCACCAAACCTTCCTAAATCGTCCTCATCCAATGTCCATTCAATCAGTTATAATCGCGTTTTCAAATCCCCATACTATACCTCACTACACCATATTGAAACTTTTGTCAAACGCACACAATGCGATGTGACTTCATGCGAAATAAAAACAAACGTTCAAAAACGAACGTTCCATTTGGTCTTGCCCGTCACAACACAAATGAAGGAGCACTCCAACCAATAGGAATTGCTCGCCGATGATAGAACATTAAAATTATAAATGTCTACTCGGGGACACATCCTTTAGAAGCACGTACACCCAAAGAGAAAACATTGAGTACAAACTGAAAACTGTTTTGTGAAATCTGAATCTCAGCATATGACACAATTCATCTCCGCTCTGATTCGATTTCATTGTTCTCAAACCTTTTGTTTGAAGCTTTTCATACCAGCTGGGCTACAGACAGAACTGGTCTTGCTTTTATTTAATCTTAAGCAAATCACCTCGTAGCACTTCGTATCCGCCTTCCATAAAAGTGATTCTGTCGTTCTCGTACTCATCACTTTGGACCCTATTCATATAATCTTCAGCTTCAACTTCCGCACATGATGCTTGTCAAAGTCCTTATGTCACGGCTGGCCACATTATACCCTGATACCTATCAGGAATTAACGTTGAGCCAGCTCATATCATTCGTCAATCTTTCCGCGGATTTTTTAAAGAGGAATGACGGCGCACACCCGATGACGGCTCTCCATGGGCCTGTGGTAATCTTTGTTGTATTTCCACCTTTGCCACCTTCGCCAGAAGGGGAGTGCATGGCGACCGTCAGTTCATTTGGGGAGATCACAATACACGGGACATTGGATTGGGCACATTGAAATGTGACTGCGTTGACGGATCTGTAATTACATATACCTATGGTGTCAGCTGTACTGGCCAGCGGCCAGCGGCCCGCGCTGGTCAGTAGGTTTGCACAGGGCTGCTATTGCTCACTCTTTTCCGGAATCCGGCACCACTTGAGTCTTGAAAATCCTGATCGAGCAATTTTCTTTGCAAAAAAATCAGACCAGTGCCACAGAGTGCCACAGAACAGCTCTCAAAGGCAACGAGAAGAACATGAGAGCAGAAGCACGACCACGTTCAAGCTCTGTCACCACCTGAAAAGTGCCAGAACCCTCTCTTCCGACCTTTTCGGTCAGTAGCCTGTGATTCTGAAGAGATATTCCGGGGTCCTGCTTGACTCTAGTCCTACCACTAGGGCTATGACCCGGCCCTGGCCCTGACCGGCCGAGTGTGCCCGAGCGTTTTCTAGGTGAGGTCGAGGCCGAGCCCGGGGCCTCAAGTCCAGCCTGGGAATAGAAAAAAAGGCCCCGGTACAGGGCTACTCGGGGCCGGGGCCGTCGCAAAAAATCTTTATGGAGGCAATGTTTTGGAAAAATTCACGTCATCAAGCATCCTTCCCGAGCTCTCAAACACGCTTTCAAGGGGATGGTCCGAGCCAGGGCCTGCCCGGTGCTGCCCGGCAGCATCCTTGAGTATTGCGTGGCCGAGGCCGGGCCTGAATCGGCCCCGGGGCCGGCCCTCACACTTCAGGGCCGGGTCATACCCCTACCTACCACTAGTATGAAGATGATAAAAAAGTATTCCTCAGAATAAGCCATAGATCTTGAGTAAGGCTCTTTTGCACCAAAAAGTCGAAATTCGTACCCAGAAAGTGTGGACCCTTTTGACCAAAGAAGCTTGATTCCTACATACCTACTTGGGGGGTACATAGGGGCCCTTCAGGATCTTGTATCATTGCAAAAAAAACACGCACAGAAGCTCAAGATCAACCACAGGTGGCGCACTCTGGCGCTACAACTTTATACCGAAGGAAAGCCCAAAGCACGGCCTTGAAGCGAAGTTTCCGATATAAATAGAGTCCAATCTGAATCTTGCTCTCCCCAACGACCTTTGATCAAGTCGCACTCATTTTGCACTGTTATCCGTCGAAGTATCACAATCGACGTCTTTCTTCCTCATTCACCGCACTCAAAATGCTCCTTGACTTTTTAAAAATCTCCATCTTGTTCTTGTCCCTTTGGATTCATGGACTGAAGGCCGGGGGTGCAACTTATAGGTGTAATGAATCACTTACCAGATTCTCAAGCAATAGCAATAGTGCAGGTATGCTATTTCACATTTGTCTTCTTTGCCTTATAACTCCAGCATGAATTTCATTTAACAACTAATACGCACCTTTCTCCAATCTCTCACATCAAAAGTGTGCCAGGTTGATGGAAAAACTCATAACTGCAAATTTGATAGTTGCTTCAATCACAGTACGCTTTTTACATTCCAATCTTCATCACCTTTGATACCGCATTAACATACAACTGCTTTTATTGTGTTTACCTTAGATAATCATTGGGTTCTTGTCACTGGCTGCCGCCAGGTGGGAACTACGGACGGACTGAGCAATCAACAATGTGCACAATATTCAAACGCGCCACCCTTCGGTTACAGTCAGTATCCTTGATCTCGAACCCTATGGTCCTGATAAAGTTCCTTACACGAAATTCATTTTTCCCGTCTGAAATCTTTAGAATGTACCAACCCCGGGGGTGTATCTTATTACTGCCCTAACTGGAATCCTAAGAGTGGAGGAGCCTTGAGTAAGTCGTATTTCCACATCAGTCAAAAGCTCACTTCACTGAACACTATCTTTCCTCAGCGTGTAGCAATTGCACGCCTTCATAGATCACACGTCAAACAGGAAACCGTGAAAATCCCCAGTTCTCTAAGCAAAGTCGGAATGAAAAACTATACGAGTCAAACAATCTATGGGGTTTCTTGGCCAAATGCTGATGTCTGGACTCCCAATGATTTATTCCCTGATTCATACCTTGTTATTTAACAAAGAGATGATGACAAAAATGTTTCAAATCGTTACAGCCAGTGACCCAGGATCCGTCATCAGGCCATGTCATTATCTCCTCACCTCATGACCTAACCAAATGAAAAGTCAATCAATATTTGCCCTCATCCACTTTCTTCATGTTTCCACTCTGGTCCCATGACCATGGAAGCTTGTAGCTCACGTTTAAGGATCATTTAAGACTTTTGAATCAAACAATATTGACATATTTGCCGATTAGACATTCGTCTTTTCTCAATCACCAAATAGCTGTCACTGTCCTGAGATCACAGGGCTGCAAGTAAATTGTCCTCCTAGGTGTTCAACATGTAAACTGAAGTCTATGAAGACCCAATCATAACTCAATCAAGAACTTCTTGATGATCGATTCATGAGCGCGCGCATATTTTCGCGAAGAAGCGGCATGTCATCAGGCAAAACTCACGTCACTCGAAAACACATCAATGTCAGCATGTGTGTATCAGATGTATCTTGTATCTTGGATTCGCGCTTTGATATTGCTACAAAACTTCAACACATCGTATGATAGGACATTCATCATTCCTGTTATGTTCATAAATATCAATTTAAACATTCAAGATGTTCAACTTCGCTCAATTGGATGACAATTAACAACAACATCAATTTTTTTCTCAAGTTTGAATTTCATAAAGATTTCAACAAGACAAAAGTTAATGAGAATCAAAGAAAAGAATACATTGTGTTATGATGGTCGAGGGTAAGAATCTTGACGACAAATTGGACACTTATAATCAGGTTTATTAACAATCAAGTCAGCCAAACACTCCTCATGAATCCTATGAGCAGGATGACACCTCAACCGAATGTATGGTTTTCCAAGCAGAAACCCATCAATACAAACCGAACAATCGTCTATCCCAGACCCCACTTGAACCACTGAACATGTCATCATACAATGAGTAAATTCCCAAAGACTCCACCATTCATCTGTTAGAGGTAGAGGAAGATAATGAGCCATTGTAGGATCCATTCCAAAGTTTAAAGAAATCCTTTCAAGTTGTTGGAAGTACAGCTCGAGTGATCTTTCCTTTGAAATCCATGCTTCATGATGATCTTCTTGCCAATTATCGAGTTGCTCTATCTTATTCTTCTCAGCCTGTGTAGTTAACAAGTTAAAAAGAAGACAAGGAACTCGTCGTGACCCGGCAATCTCGCTAGACGGTTGCGTTTGATCATATACGCTTTGAATGGATATGATGATTTTCAGGAGTTTCAATAAAGGGTCTTCAATTTGCTGGATTTGTTCGTTTTGATCCATCTTGAAGATCTGTAAGTGTTAAGTAAATAATAAGTTGTTGTTAGAAATAAAATATAAATATTGTGATGTGTTAATGAGCTCAAGAATAATATCGTGGTATGTTGGTTGGTGAATGGTTTATTGTGAGGATTCAGGTAGACAAAAATGATCAATAGACCTTTCCACATGCTTTATATTGCAAACGAAGCTGATCCTTCTCAGACTCCAGCATTCAGAACTCGAAGAGAAGCTCAACAGCCCTACTTCAAGAAGCATGTAAGGGTTTTCTAGTCACCCATTTTGATTTTGATTTCGGACTTTTCCAGAATTTGATGAGGTTTGGAAAGCTGTGATACAAATGATACTTTTCATGATTCCTTTCATTGTCGTTTAATCTCCTTCAAGTAATATCACTTCATTGGCATATAGGCACAAAAATCAATATCAAGAGACCTTTCAAGCTTCAAGAACGTTAAAGAGACTCGTGTTTTGTAGATACCGTGCCTACCTCTTCCTCATGATCAAGATCCTAATATTTAAACGCTGACTCAAAAATTGAATCAAAAATCAATCTTGCGATCAAGAAAGACATGCCAAGCACACTACTGACGTTACTGGCTCAACGGGGAGAAGACACTGAAGATTATGAAGCTTATAAGTGTTTTTGGTTTCCAAGCTTCAAACTGCTAGATTCGTGTTGTCTCGTTTGATTTGATTGGATTTGAGAGAAGTCAAATACTTAATTATGAATTGTTTGAAAATCTCAAAATTTCAAAAGGCCTTCGCCAGTTCAGTGTCACAGACGTTTGCTTTTACGTGCCGTTTTGAATTTTTGCCAAAAATTCGATTGAGCTTCATTAGGATTGTTTAAAATGACCATCACTTTTCAAAAGCTTTCATTAGACTCATTTTCTGCATTTTGCTCATATGAGCTCATTAGGATCCTAGAAACTCGGTTTGTGTCAAAGGTATGACTGGAAATCATCTTGCGCATGGCCTGTGATCCTAGCTGGATAGAAAGATGAGCGCCCGAGTCACACAAGATGCCATAGCATCTGATATTAATTTAAACTCTTTGTTTGTCGTAATCATCATTTGAAAGATGTCGATTATGTTTTATCAGAAAAACTGAAGAAAACTTATTCACATTTTTTCTAATAACACGAGCATTTATGAAGTGTCTTTCAAACAATATCCTACTTGATTGCCTGCCTATCAATCTTTCTTCGTTGTCAGAAGGCTGACCAGGTCTAACGTAAGTGAGTATCAACACAAGTTGACATTGCTTTGATTTACTCCTGTGGTACGAGTATATGGCCAAGGAAACCAATATAATACGACCGTCTGATTATGGTAACGGGAATGAGCATAGCCTCCAATGACTTGGGAATCGACCATCAAATGCAAATCATCAATTCGAACTTTGAATAAATTATATTCTCGTATGAAGCTTCAATGATGGGAATCAAAAGAAATTGATACACTGCAAGTGGATCCTTGCACAAAATATAAGACAAAGTTAATTGATCTCCTTGAACCGTTCGGCTTGTATCCAACTCGACATACACAAGGATACTACTCGGATCAAAAGATTCCAAGTATGTTGTATGTTGTTTTTGTATTTTGAGAAAGAGAGCGAGAAAGAGAAAGAAAGAGATCTGAGCAAATCAAGCTGTTATTGGTCAATGTGATGATTTGCAAGAGGCGGTGCAGAAGTCAAATGCTCCACTCAGCTCGGTACCGACCGATCAGAGTGAGTCTCGAGTTTAAGGAGTCAATCCAGCCTCAGCCTCTCAACATCTCAACATCAGCATCAGCATCAGCCTCTCAACAGATATCCAAGATCAAACTATATCAAAACTTATCTCAAGATGTCATCAAGTTGGTCAAACCTATCATCCCAAGACAAAGTAAGTAACCATTCAAATCATCAACAAGAACAAAAACACACATTTTAACTTATTTCATGACTTGACGATATCCTGAACCACAGCAAGCATTCTATTCAATCCTAGATGAAGTGAGTCATTCCTATCAATCAATCAATCAGGACCAATCAACTAAAGAAACCTCTTGAATTCAAAAAGTATTTCACCTCAAGACCCCATTTATTCCCACAACCTCACAACAACCCCAACAGCACCACCACCAATTCAAGTTCAAATGCATACAGTGCAGCAAGTTCAATAGCATCAACCCATCCAGGTGTAGCAGCCTCAGCACTACGAGCCGCCGGAGTCCCAAAAAACGTAGCTAGCAGTAATAACGTCTCAACGGTTTCTAAATGGTCACAGAATCCAAAAGTAGTAGCTGCTAGTAGTAAAGTTAGTCAATTAGCTGGTAAATGGAATCCTAATGGACAATCTAATTCAGAACAAGATTCAACTTCTACGGATCATATGACCAATGAATCTCAAGTTTCTAGTCATACTTCTCGTAAACCTGGTACTTTACCTAATGGATTACAGTCTTCACAGAAATTCATGGGTGAGCTTTTTAAACTGATTCTATATTACTTAATCCTTAAACCCTGATTCTTGATCCTAATCTATTTTCATTTTCGATTTGATTCGATTTTTGATTTCATTAGGAGGTTTTGTTTCACAAGCAGAAAAAGATGCATTAAAGAGAAACCCTTCAGGTGTACTAGGTTCATCCCAACCCCAATCCCAAAAGAAACCAACATTCGATCCACCGCCGATCCGAAAAACAGGTCCGATTCCCATTCCAACCCCATCACTTATCGAAACTGAACCACAAGAAGAAGAAGATGATCAAGAATGGGTGGTAGCTCTTTATGATTTCGAAGGTAGTAGTGATCAAGATCTTTCATTTAAAGTTCATCAAGTCATCAAAGTCACTGAGCATAGTTGAGTGATCAGTTTTCCCCTTGTTGTGACCTTATTTCCCATTTCTCACTAATGGATTGATTCATGTTTTTTTTAGTTTCAGATGATTGGTGGAATGGTCAAATTGATAATGGTCCAATCGGAATGTTTCCAAAAACTTATGTAAAACCTCTTTAGAAAGAAATCCTTTGATTACTTTTTCTCATTGTTTTTATATAGAAATACGTTTGATTATATCTTGGTCGCTTTGATTGTTTGTTTTATTATTTATTTTATCTCTTTGTAATACTGATTACTTATTACCCAAAAACTTTCAATTGAACTCAAGATGGGTCACCTTTTTAAGATCAGGTTTTAGTAAATAACAAACCAACCAGAAACCATCTAATTTATGCAAAGCATATATTCTAATCAAGAGACGTGCAATAAAGTAGCGATCTTTTCCTTCAAATCTAAAATCAAAGCCTTCATCCTTCCTGTCCCTAACATCTCTCTTACCCTCAGCCTTTCTTGGTTAAGGGAACACAATCCTACCATCACCTGGCATTCATAAGACGTGTTGGACCCCAGTCCTTGCCAAAGCCTCACTCAGGCGGGGAACAATAGTAAGTCACTCTTTCCTCTCACTTAAACCGGGGACAAATCTGGAGCTCTACGACGCTCAAAGTGGCTCACTCTTTTTTGACATCTTGTTCCGAATCTTACAAATTATTACTGCAAGCCTCAATATTGGTTCTTTTGTCTTCGAAAGTGCGGTCTTTCAAGAAATTGACGGTGCACCACTTCAATCCACTTAAAGAACATGGGGTGACAAACCAGTCGTCGTGGCTCCAAACTCAAAGCCTCTAATATCAAGGGGCTGCAAGTCATTAGATTTAGTGTAATTTTTTGTACAACTTCAGCACTCTGCACTCTATAGTTCGTCAATCATCACACACTTCAAATCTCCCACTCAAATGATATTTTCAATTCCAAGAACATAAAGAATAATCAATTCATTCCAAGAACATAAAGAATAATCAATTCATTCCAAGACTTAAGGAAAAAAACCCTATAGACCAACTTTTTGGAAAAACCTTTGCCGAAATTCCTATCCAAACATTTTACCAAACGCAGCTCTTTCTTTTTTCTTTCTATTTTCAATCATTAATTTAGTTTGATCTAATTCTTTTTTAATGACCAAATCATTCGGTTCAAGTTTTAAAGCTTCCATTAAATCTTTTACAGCTGATTCTTCTTCATTAACTAAATTGGATGCAACTGCTCTTCTATAAAACGCTTTTGCTCTAAACATAACAAAAGAAAAAGTTATCCAGATCAGAATTGACTACAGGATGAAAGAAGTTTTTTTGAGGAGAGGGGGAACACAAACCTTTCAGAATTGGAAAGTTCTTTGTAAGTTCCTAACATCGATCGTTTGGTGGTATCCATTGGAGCATCTGTAGGATGATGAGTATTTATAACTCTAGTGGAATATTTAATAGCTAATCTAGCGGATTCTTTTGATTTAGTTTTTTGTGAAGCTTTGATAAAAGCTAAAGACGCATTCAAGAGTAAAGAAACTCTCAAGTTGGTATATGATTCTACTTCTTGTGGTGTACAATCTGCTGGTAAAACAGGATGTGTATCAAGGTAAAGAATAGCCTAAAAGATCATCATGATGTAATTGATCAGTTTTGGGGTTCAAAAAAGATATGTGGATGAGAAAAGAGTGTTCGGGTTTGGGAAAGGTAGGATTTACCTTGGCGTATTTCTTACTGGCAATTTCAAATTCTCCATCCTTGAAAGCTTTCGTTGCAATCTCTTTTAGTTTAGTAGCAATCTTCATACACGTCTCAATATATTCGACTTTCTCATCATCCTATCGAAAAAAAAACCAAAAAAATAAGACGTCAGTAAGCCAAATTTAAGTTCTGGTATGATTTTTTTGTTTTTTTTGACTTACATCACTTGGTCTATCTTCCCATTCATCACCCCATTCATCAGCTTTAGATTTCTGAAACGAATCATCATTAGGATCGACAATTCCACAATCTTCAATAACAATCGATTCGACCGGTACATCAGCTTTAGTAGGAGCATCTTCAATCATTCTAACAATCGATCGACCAGCAATAACTCTTCCAAAGACTACATGTTTGCCATCTAAATGAGGTGTATGTACAGTGGTAATAAAGAATTGAGATCCGTTTGTTCCTGGTCCGGCATTTGCCATCGAAAGTAAAAAAGGTTTCTCGTGTTTAAGAATAAAGCTAGAACCATCAGATAAAAGGTTTAAGCAAAAGAAATGATTAGTGGTTTGTTGAAAGTTGGATTAGGAGTCAAACTTGACCAAAAGGATATTACTTTTCATCTTCGAATTTTTCTCCATAGATTGATTCTCCACCTGTTCCATTTCCAGCTGTGAAATCACCACCCTACAGAAAAAGACTCGTGTCAATAATATATAAGATCAGATGAATAAAAAAAGTCAATAGAACATACCTGGCACATAAAAGATTTAATAACCCTATGAAACTTACTACCCTTATAAGACAAAGCTTTACCCGAAAGTTTACTTTCTCCAACTTCACCTGTACATAGAGATTTAAAGTTTTGAGCCGTCTTAGGAACAATATCATCAAACAATTCAAACACCACTTTTCCAAGTACGTTTGAATTGATACTGATCTCAAAGTAAACTTTGGGTCTTTGATGATTAGGATCGATTGGTTTGAATAATAAATCAGATGGAGTTGGTAGTTTTACTTCGGGTTGGGTTTCTGCTTCGAATGGGTCGGTTGTTTGAGATATGGTCGATAGGTCCAGTGGTGGATCCCATTCGGACATGATTGGTATTTTTGAGGCGGTTTACTAGGAATCTTTCTCTTCTAGTCTTTGAAGGTCTTATATAGATATTTCGAAATGTATGATAAAACTCTTTGATCGATTGTCTCTCTTTAAGGAAGGATGTCTATAAGTACCTTGAAGTGTTTTCTGATGAAATTGTTCTTTGAGTCAAATCCAGAACTTTCGATCAATTTCTAGAACTCACCCCGGACCGAGTCTCACTTTGGGACCGCACTCACCCCGGGCTTAATGAAGTAAATTGTGACTCAAAAAATGCTCAACTCAGATCACACGCCAGTTGCTCGGCCATTGCAGATATTGTGGAATAACACCATATGAAGATTTATTTCATCCCAAACATAAGCTTCGAAAGGTGTCAAAACAACAAGAAAAGTGTTTCCCTTTCCTCACCTCTGGGTTTCAAATAATCGAAAAGCTTAGGAGGATGAATGAAGGAAAACGGTTCAGAGGGATACATGACAATCGGACAAAGAGCTTGGAATATCTTGTCTAGATCCAAGTTTGAGAAGACACAAATACAAATCAAGAGCAACCATTTTATGCTGGAATCCTATCCAGAGGATTGTAACCACTTGAAATCCAGAAACTATTGGCCTGTTTATCACAGTGATGTACCAAGACTATTTCTCACTGCATGGAATTCAGGTAGTTGGGATATCTGATCGCACTATTGGCACATTTGCTGTTTGTTCCAACCCAAGTACATCAAAAGAACTGACTTGTTGTAAATTTGGTTTCTCTCTGGTTTGTTACAAACTTCTTACTATCCTGTGCTGGTTTTTTCGTCCTACCCATCGTTAGCAAAGCCACCGACCTCAACATTGCCCAGTATCTAGAAGAATAATGTTTCACATCATTATACACATGACCTCCATATTCAGAAACGATGTTCCGATGATCACGAAGTCTTCTTGAAACTTTTATATACTCTTTCCATGCCTTTTCCATAGCAGCTTCAGCTTTAGGTAACAGGTCTGATGGTGGAGTAGGATTAGCTTTGATGAGTTTCCAATGTTCTAGACAGTGTTGATAGTTATTATATGATAATTTCCAAGGTTGATCAGGTTCAAGGTATTTGTGGGTTTTCTCCCACTCATCGACTAAAACTACTAAACCACTCTCTAGTATGTATACATCTTTTCCATCTTCCTTAAGCCTTAGTATGGGTATATTTCTTGAATGACGTGATGAAGTTGATTCGGGAGGGGAATGATCCTCATTTGGTTTTTTAAAATCAATAAATTGACTATAGCTTTCAGGAGTAATACAAGGATGATGGTTGTCTGATTCATCTAAAGGTAAGATCCCATTATGACGATAATTTTGGATTTCTTCATTCAATTCCTTAAAAGCGATTTCTTTAGCTTCTTTTGCTTTGAGTGTTAATCCTTGAGGTGCGTATGGATAATCTTCAATAGCTCGCCATTGTTCAACACATAGTTGATAATTGTTGTTTGCTAGTTGGTACTTTACAATATCACATTCCTTGATATATTTCTCTGGTCCAAAGTTTAAAAATTCCATAAGATGTAAAATGAGAATTGTAGACCATATAAATAAGATTTTTAACATTTTTCATAGAGTGTATGATGATCTGGTTGACAGGATTGTAGTAGAGAATGTCGGATCAACTCTTCATATCTATGCATGTGATACTTAATTTCTAAATGCACCCCACAATCTTGGAAAATCACCATGTCGCACATTAAAGTAAGAAGAACTCTTACAACTCTCTAATCACCTCATCTTGCCGCAGAAACGGGTTTCATGCATGTGTTCAGAATTGAGTTTTGTGTTCAGATTATTTTAGTTTCAATTTTGACCTGATGATTCTCAATCAGAACAGTCAAGATAACATATGATGAAAGTACTTGGTAAGGTGAAGACAATTACGAATTTTGCCTCGCACATTTGAATTCTACTCAGCTCACAAGTCAATCCCTCACTATTTATTTTATGTCCGGGGTCATCTCATTCCCATCGAATTTACTATCCTTATGGCCTCTGTCAAACGGCGCAACCAAAATTGTGTCAATGGGAGGCGCGAAACTCGGACGGTGAAATCCATGACCAAGTTCGGTGTTTTAGATTCATACAAACGGGTCTTCCGTGGTGGCATTGCCAAGATTTCTGATTGACTGCTATGCCCCCCGCACGTGATACATGATCACTTTGTTATGTGTACACGACTGCACCACAGCAGGTCACGTGATTGTACAGGTGTTGTAGTCATATCTTGTTCTACCCGGGCGTCACGCTCACACCCGGTGCCACGAAGCCTCGTGGCCCCCTAAAGGGGCGCATGGCGAGGGCGAGGGCGCAGGCCACGCCCTGGCCTTCGCCCCGAGCCACATGTGGCCTTTGCAGGGCGGCCTCCGGGTGCCCCACATCCAATAACGAGTCTGATCAACAAAGAAGAGACTTTCATGAAGACGATCGATCGAAGTTGAACCTATCGATTGTTTTCATTCTGGAATGGTTGATAGGGAGCTTCTCATCCCTCATACACTTCTTTAACAGCTTCACATCTTCTGAGGGACTGAACATCATTCTTGAACCTTTGCTATTCCAAAGTATGAAAAGATAGCATAACTTTTGTTTGACTTTTAATGAAATCATCTATTGTTCTCTAATCGTTCTACCTAAATTAATCACAGCTTGTATTTTTTCATTCTTTTAACAATCACTGGACCAAAAAACATCATCTGTAACAATCAGAAATGAAGAAGTCTCATATCATTTCTATCTAGTTTCATCTTTCTTGAGAACATTCAACTCTCATGAATTTGAATGATGATGTGACCATAACAAACCTGACTGATTTCAAATTACAGGCTTATGAGACAAATGAGATGAAATGTTTGTATTCGGTTCTCAGTGAGCTGGAGATCCTTGGTTAGCTTAAACTGAGGAATTTGATTCCAAACTTTTCATTTTCTTCTCAGTTGAAGAATGAGAGTTTTTTTGTACTGGACCGATAGAAAGCCCAACTTTAAAAGTGAGCTGAATGTTTTTTTAGAGGACATAGTTTGCATTGCAGAGAAATCAGAACAAAATATCTTAAGCATTTGAAAAGACTCTTTTTGAGCTAATTGAGGATATAAAAACGACGTATTGAAAAGGTATGTAATTGAAGATCTGGCTCGTATTCCAGAGGCACTGATCGATTCGCTTCAAACTTGGAGAAAGACAATAGATATGTATAAATTAGTTGAGGATATTCATCCAACTTTTCAAGCACACTTGCTCCATGAGAGTATCAGCCTTCATTGAGCATCTGTAATCGTCCATTACACGACCTGCATCTGAAAAGCAGCTTTCAGACGGAACACTGGTTGCTGGAATAGCGAGTATAGCTTGAGCAAGCTTGCTTAGGTGAGGGTACTCAAGGCAGTTGAGTTGCCAGTAACCTAATGGGGTTTGAGTTTGAGGCTCGCGTGACCGAGTGAGATATGATGTGATTTTGTCTCGAAGGTGAAAAACAGGACGAGAAGTTGAGGTTTCGCCAAACAGATCATCTGAGCTGAGATTTGGTTGATTAGGTTCAAATGACTCAATGGTGTCTGTAATTCCAAGACGAATACACTCGGTGTTGATGTGATACTCCAGAGTATCACGCAATACAATGGTCAGACAGATTCCCTCAAGTTTGTTCCTGGGATCGAGAACTGCTGCTATGAGATAGGTGGGCTTCCTGATGGCATTGTTCCTGTAAAGGGTAAGTTTATCGTACATGGGCTTCAAAGCTGATCGGATACCAGGCATTACGTCTGAATCTGATGTGTTCATGGACTGCAACGATAATTGAAGATATGAGCAAGTGACAATAGACCAAGATTAGATGGAATCTGTTCTCGGTACCCACCATTTCAAGACGTCTCATCATATTTTCGTAAGCTAAGGCTGCTAAGGATAATGTAGGGTATTTGGAAGCGGAAAGCTTGGATGTGATTTTTTCAAAAGGTTGAAGAAATTTAACCAGATTTTTGAGTATATCCCATTCAAGGTCACTGATTCGGAGGTCAACATATTGAGGGTCATTGTTGAGTTTGAAGTTAATAACATGTTTCAATCGAAGGACACGGGCACAGACATGACTGAGAGAGTTCCAACGAGTCAGGCATTCTGTTCGAAGTCCAAGCTCTTTTTCAATTCCAGGTGTTTTTAATGCTATTTCTCGAATGTCCAACGCAAATTGATGACAATTTTTGTACTTATTTGAGAGTTCATTTATCTTTTGAAGGAGACATGCAGTCTTTGTCGAAATGATGTGGTCAACAGCGTCAGCAAACTCCTCCGGTACATTCATATGATTTGGCTTGAGACTGTTAGTGAAGTACTTGAGACATGCTCGCACTCCCAGATTGATTACATGAGCTATACATCCATTGAGGTGTTTGGATCGAGAGAACTGCGGAATAGTGCCTTCAAGGGAAGATGCCAAAGTGTTATTGTTGGAAGCATTGTCGGCAGTGATGCAGTAAAGTTTGGAGCGTAACAAAAATTGATCGAGGACACCTAGTAGATGTTTGGCTAGATTGTCACCACTGTGTGGGCCTTTGATTTCAATAAGTGAAATGATAGCGTTCTTCAACTCGAATTTTGAATCAATCCAATGTGCTGTCACCCCCAAAATTGATTTGTGATTACGTGAGGTCCAGGAGTCGCAAGTGAGACTGATGTGATTGATAGATTGAAAGTGATTGATGAGACGTGCTTGATAAAGTTGAAATGATCCAAATATTGCATCTTTCAATGCAGTGGGAGTTATGAGAAGAGATTTGGATCTTGGGTTGAGAAGTGACAACAGATTTTTGAACGCTTTTGAGTTGACAAACTGAAAGGGCAACTCGTCTTGAATGCACATCTTGACAAGTGCTTTCTTAAAAGATTCAGGTGACAAAGTGGCCTAATGTGATTCATCATAACTGAACATGTAAGCTGATTAAAACAATACCACAGAAAATTGATAATGATGATATCTTACCATGTCATCTGGATCCTCTTCTCCAAGCTTGTCCTTTGATGTCAATCTATGGATTTGATTGAGATGACGACTGAGAGATCTAGTGCCGCCGTTTGCGTCTTGAGCTATTGAACTTCGACATAACTCATTTGATAACTTTTCACTGGGAAGCTGGCAGACAAACTTGACCTTTCTGCCAATGATATCAGGTTCAAAATATTCCCATACCCAGGAAGTGCGCTTCTTGATCAATTCTCGAGTCTCTTCTAAACGTCTTTGAAGTTCTGCATTTGTCTTTGGAGACCTTGTTCTTTGAAATGAGTGACTTGAAGATGTTGCACTCAGCTCTTGTGATCGAGGTGATAAGGGAGAGTGGCGGATGTGTCTTCTTGATTCACTCAGATTACTAGCTCTAGATAATTGTGACATGTTTTCAGTGTGAGTTGATAGTGGTTTGTGTCCTGACGTGTCAAGCCTACTAATGGTACGATTAATCTATGGCCTCACTGTCCACTTGGGGCTTCAACGTGGCACCATGGGAAAGCCCTGTCTAGCCAAGGCCTGACCATGGCAGGCCATGGCCCTAGCCATGCCCTGAGCCCTGAAAAATGGGCCGGGTGTGAGCGTGACCCGGGCGGAAGCTTCCTCTCCTCAACCACTGTGGAAGCTGAAGTCCGGGAGTACGAACTAACGTAGTTGTCGTCCTATTGATTATAGGTAATGAATATTGAACCACTGTGGAAGCTGAAGTCCGGGAGTACGAACTAACGTAGTTGTCGTCCTATCGATTATAGGTTATGAGCTGCGTTACCAACCGTTTGTCTTGAAATCATAGTCGTACGCCGAAGTAATCGCACTCGTAGAGTAAGTCTGAGCCGCCACTCAGCACCGTTTTCATATGCCGTTAGCTCGTAGTCCACCAAGAACGTCAAATTCCACAACGAAAGGGAATCGTCCCAAAACCAGGTCATCATCTCGTGCTAGATCACAAACTGAAGAAATCGAACACCCGGAAACGTCTACACGCCACAATACGCCTGCACCGAACATACCAGATCTTTCTGTAGTACCTCCTAACTTTCCTAAACCTCCACTCGATCCGCAATCTTTCGTTAATCTTTCTCGCAATAATTTTCTTGACTCGTCTCGTGAACTCGATCCCGCTGATACCACCATTACCAATATTACCACACGTCGTCAAACACACCACCGTAACATTAGTGACTCTTCATCCGATCACTTCGTCATGTCTCAGTCAGACAACATTACTGAACGCCTCAAGGTCCTTAGTCGTAATCATAATGATGTTCAGAAGTTTGTGTCAGACATTGAGAAACTCAAAGACGACGGTTCTAATATTGCAAGATGGAAACTTCGTACCGAACGTGCCATTTTCGACATGACTGATGTAGCCGATTACTGGTCTTTGAACTCCGTAGATCCCAATAACCCGGTAGAAGTACAAATTGATCGTTGTGCAGGGAGAGTGATCAATGCAACAATCAGTGAGGACCTCAAGGATGTTATAACGCACCATACTCAATCGCATATGGCCCTTCATACGATAGAGGAGATGTTTCAGCAAGGAGGTCGCACCGCTCAATAC